CCTGCGTCTGAGCTCCTCGCTCGCCGAAGCCCTGCCAAACCGCCAGCGCTTTGGAGAGGAGGAGGCCAGGCGGAGCAGGAAGGTTCGTGTTTCTTCTGGAGAGATGCGAGGAAGGTGAATTAGAGCTGCCATAGGGAGGACGCCTCTGCCCATGCCCAGGAAGGCAGCTGCCAGGTTACGGGGTGGGTGTCATGGGATGGCTGAGCTCATGCATGGTCAAGCTGCTCAGCTTGGTGTGGTGGTGACTTGAGGTGCCTGGCCTGATGTACCTGCTCCTTCCCTGGGGGACAGGGTGTGAGGGGTCCCACGGGGGATCTGGGCTTCCCAGTGCTGGAGATGGCCTTTCTCGGAGCCCCTGCAGAGCTGTGTGTGTGATGTGGCAGAGGAGCAGCATCACCTCTCCAAAAGCCCCACTGGTCTGGAAAAGGACCAGTTACCAGTTTCTCAGATGGGTTCATGCTCATGGCAGGGTTTCCCCATTTCATTCAGCCTAAGAAACTCAGGGATGCTGCCCAGTAACCCTGTCTGGGGCAGGGGGTGCACAGAAGGGGCAGGTGCTGCATGACGTGGGATCTTGTTCTCTATTTCCACCCTCCTTTGCAGCCAAAGTCCATCAGTTCTTCCCTGGTTTCCCAAGGGGTTCATCCTTCATCTCTGCTGAGACCACAGTGCCGTGGGCTGGTGCCAGACTCTTTGCCAGGATGAGGCGTTGGCTCCGGGATGTGACCAGGGTGGGCACGGCTACAGACGACCTCCTCTTCCCCTCTGGAAAGGCAGAGTGGAGAGTTATGGAGAGATGGGGTGAGATGGAGGCATGTCCCCCACATCTAGGGGTGGCAGAGCCCGGCCGCTCTGGCGTACCCAGGGAGCCAGGCGGGAGCTGCAGATGCATCTCCAGCTATAGGGGCAGGTTGAGCCCAGCTGTGTGGCTCAGGGTTAGGTGGGGTCCATGGTGCTCATGGATTCAGACATCCAAGATTCAGGTCGGCACCTGCCATCAGCTGTTCTCCAAGCGCAGTTTCAGGAGATGGTCTATCTGTCCCTGAGACACTGTCAGCTCATGGCTGGGGAGGGGTGATGGGGTGCCCACAGGTAATAGGAGGTCCCATGGCTCTTGTTGGCTGGCATTTCCCTTTCTCCATCAAACCTATTGCCCAGTGGCACCAGCCTCCCAGAGGCCCTCACTTACCGCCAGGGATGCTGCTGGCAGAGCTGGGCAGGGTCTGGCCATGCAGAGCCGACAGCCTGCAGTAGCGGTTCTGGTTGGAGACGCGGGTCGAAAAGCCCACACCGCAGGTGGCTGAGCAGGCACTCCACTCTGTGCCCCACTCCTGGCAGGGGTATGGCAGCACTGGGGATGCTGCCCTGGGGGCTGGACGAAAAGAGAAGAGGGGGGGAAAAGGGTGGTTGGAGCCAGGCCCTGCATGGCAGGGAAATGAGGTGTCTCTTGTTGATGTTCATGGTCTGGGGTGAAGGGACCATGCCCGGTGACCTCCACGGGCATCCCCTCACTGGCACGTCCTGTGTCTTACCTGCCCCAGCATCCCGGAGGAGGTGCCGGTCCTGGGTTTCACAGATCCACTCTGGGCAGCACTTCCCTGGGATCTCCACGCGCCGTGGGTAGGGGCAGTCCGGGGTGGGCAGCCGGACATCCTCCTGGCAGAGTGGGACGCAGGTGAAGCCCCCATCCAGGCAGCGGCACTGGAGTTTGCAGCTGGGCTGGAAAACCTCCCCCTCGCGATAGACTCGGCCGTTCACCTCACAGCCCTCCTCATCGTCTTCAACTGCAAGCAACAACCAGGGAGCTTGTTGGGGACAAAGTGACAGAGAGACATGGATGGCAGAGGGGACTGGTGCGGGAAACCATGGGGCTGGCATGAGGTGGCTGAACTGGGGGGGCCACAGAAGTGACTGAGAGGCGTGTGGGGCAGGCGTGGGCTCACAGCAGCATGTGCACCACCCCACCTCCTCTCCTCATCTCTGTATTTTCAAAGCAGCAGCTCACCAGTTGGTGAGAACCTTTGGCTCTGACCCTGCCTTTCAGGATTTTCAGGCTAGAAAAAGTTTCCCTGAAAATTCTCTGCAGGACCCCAAGGCTCCAGCCCCAGCAGGATGACTGCAGCATCCTTGGCACCCCTGTGTCCATCCCCACACAAACCACTCCGAAACCCTGGTCAGCAAACGGCACGAGAGCTGGCTGGAGCTGCAGAACAGCCCCGAAGTCAAGCTGCATCCATCGGCCTCAGTTAAGCTGCTTTCGGGGCCTTAACAGCTTCCCAAAAGCGGTGAGGGATGCCTGGAACTGGCTGGAGCCCTGGCCAGAGCTGGGGCGCATGCTGGGCTGGGGACACAGGGACATCCCCGGAGGGGACAGGCATCCCTGTGCTCACAGTTGCAGATGGCTCCTGTCCCCGTGGCCGCTGTGCTGTAGTCACAGACGAGGCCCTGGCTCTGGTCACAGACGTGGAGGAAGTCGCAGGGCTCTCCCAGGCGCCGGGCACAGATCTTACAGCAGCCGCAGCCATCCAGGACCAGGGGGGACCCGCGGGGACAGCGGGGTGGCACCCAGGGGCAGTAGCATGGTCTCCGGCACAGCTGGGCACACACCTGCGGAGACAAAGCCATGGCTGATTCCATACAGGTTGGGTTTTGGCTAGTGGCTGCTGTTTCACTGGGGCAGACAGGTAACCCTGGGGGCAGATTTTTGGTGGAGGGAGGCTCTGAAAATCCATGGGAATACAGTGAAGCAACCTGGAAAGCTGTTGTCCTCTAAAGGCACAGTGTGATGAGCACCCATGGAAACCCAGGAGAATCAGGGATGCTCAGCACCCTGCAGGATGGGAACTTAAATGCCCCACTGCTCTGAATGCAGAGGAGGAGGATGGAGCTGCAAAGCAAACATCCCAGGTAGCGATGGTCACAGAACGAGGCTGGCAGCCCCCGAGGCAGCCTGGAGGGAGGGAGGGAAAGCAGCCAGCCCCCATGCCAGCACGCTGTGCCCAGCTGGAGATGTGGCTTCTCAGGGGCTGAATCCACATGGTGAGGGCACAGCACCTCACTCTGAACAGTCTTAACATCTCTCATTCATGCCAACAAACAGCATCACATTGGTGGTGGGGGAACTGAAGCCAAAGGAACCTCATCGCTCTCCCTCCTGGCCCAGCTCTGCCTGTCCCTGCTTGCAGCATCCTCTGCCTGGCCTGGCTTTCTGGGTGAGGAGCCCTGAGACAGGCACATTTTCAAGGACTGGGAGATACATCTCCCCTCCCAGCTAGACTGAGCAGTGTCAGAAGGGGTTTGCACTGCAGTGGTTTGCTGTCTCAGCCGTTTATTTGCCAGGACTGTGTCTGGGTGGGCAGGTATGTATAGCCCCAGCGCATTCTGCTTGCACAGGTACCCTGGCACAAACAGCCTTTGCAGGCAGCGCTCGTGCTCCCGTCCTGTCGTATCTGGCAGGGCTGTTGCATAGATGGCCTGAAGCTGAGTGATTTGGCTCTGCCGTTTGGAAGTGAATTCTTTGCCAGTACTGGCCCAACAGCATGTGCACACATGTGAGCCCCACGCAGCAGCTCGCAGCTGCTCTCCGGCAGCCCTGCTGCTCCGCTTGCCACATGGCCAGCACATGCAAACAGCAAATGTGCAACCCAACAATTCAGCCCTGTGCTGGTCCAGACATGGGTGTTTCTGCAGAGACTGCTGAGAGATCGATGGGTTCAGCTGGACCATGTGGATTTTAGATCCCATTTTTCTTTTTGTTTCTCCCAGGAGCATCAGGTCTGACATGACCAGTTAGAGAAGGTGGGTACTGGTGTGCTATCTGTTCCCCATTCATGTCAGTTCAGATGTTTTTTATGAGCCTGTAGAAATGTCAGTGTTGGGAGGTGAAATATATCACCCAGGGGAATCTGGCTTTGATCTAGTTTTATCAATGAGCAGCATTAGCAGTGTGGCAGAAAGCCACGACAGGGACTCATGGCAGGGACTGATGGACTGGCCATGGTGGCTAGGTCGGGGCTGGAGGTACAAGGGCCCATGGGGAATCTCCAGACTCTCCTGCCTGCCTGGGCCAGCAGTCATTTCTCCATCACAGCTTGCCCAGGCAGCCAAGGGCATTTTTCGTCTTTCAGGAGGGTGCTATTACAAATCAGTGTTTTAGAAAGCTTAGCCAAGCCAACTCCATTAATCCATTTCCCTCTGCTCTTTGTAATTAACTTGTCTTTAGATGACAATGTGGCTGCTATCAGAGATCTTAACTGTCTGGGAAAGGAGCTGAACAGACACAATGCTGCTATGATATCCCTGCCTGCAGAAGGTCTGGGATTCAAGCAGCAATTAGAAGAACTTGTAGCTGAGATACTCCCAACTTTCCAGCTTTCCTGTTCTCTGCACAGGCAACTATTTTGACACAGAGTCCAAACAGAAAAAAAAAAAAAACATCACTACAACAACCGAAATCCTGTTGGAGACCTTGGCTTTGCATGAGCATCCCGGCGAGGAGGGACAGCTGAATAATGCCGAGCTGGTTCTGGCTGCTTGGCCCCCAGCTGCGGGAGCCTGGGCAGGGACCAAGGAATCTGCAGGAGCTGCTGCCTGCTCGCTCGCAGGGATGCAGAGCACAGCCGCGGGTGCGGGAGAGCTGCAGGGACGGGGGAGCAAACAGAGTGCATTGCTATCATTCCTGTGTGCTCCTTGGACTTGCACAACAGATGCTTTTGGCCCATGGACGTTAAGACCCTGCTGCTTAATTGCAAATATCTCTCCCCAGCATTGCTCTGCCCCCTGGGACTGCATAACTCCAGCCTGCCTGCCAGCCCCCAAGGGGCTCCTTGTAATACCCCAGTCCTGCCTGCATCTCCCTTTGCCAGAACCAGGTGCCTTCCCGAGTAAGGCTTGAGCCACCCCAGGACCCCGTCTCCCTTACCTTGGAGAGGATGCAGAGGAGGGAGAGGAAGAGGAGCTGCTTCTCCAGCTGGAGCCTCATGCTGCTCTCCCCTCCGCGCTTCAGCACATCACCCCCCAGGCAGTTTGGAGGCTGTGGCGTGTTCGCAGGTTTTAGAGCCCCGAGTGGGTCCTGCTGGTGTTTATACTCTCCCCACTCTGATGTCACTCACAGGCTCCAATATAAACATGAGTAGGTTTGGACAAGCCTCAACATTTTCTTTTTTTTTTTCTCTCTCTTTTTTTTTCCAGCCCACATTCCAGCTGACATTTCCACTCCCCTCAAGGTGAGAATGTGCTGTCCACCAAGACAGCGAGTGAGGGGAAGGGATGCTCTCCCTGGGGAGCATGGGAGAGGGGCCGGGGACCCAGGCTGCTGGGGTGAACTGGCTCCTTGCTGCTTGCTGTGACTGAGAGGATGGTCTGTGCCTCTTCCTACTGATCAAGATCTTCCCAGACAGAGCTGGTGCCTTCCTCCTGGGCTTTGGAGGGTTTGGTGGGGCTGTCCCTGCCACCATCCACTCTGGGACATTGCCATGACCAAGCAGCAGTGGGGGACCCCCCCTGTATTTTATAGTGAATGCGATGCACGGCAGGCTGTGGGAGAGGGGTGAGATGCCCTCGCTGCACAGAGCCCTGAAGTCAAGGGCAGGATCCTGTCCCTCCATCACTGGGGACAGGTGTGACCTGCTTTTTATAGCCAGAGCTGAGGCTGCAGCAGTTTGCCAGGCAGGCTCTCCAGGCAGTAGAGCTGCTCTTCCCTCACCATTTCTCTGTCACAGCAAGAGCAAGAAAGGGATCTGCTGTGGTGGTGGTGCCACAGCACCCCTGTCCTGTGGCTGCCCAGGGAGGCTCCTGGGGTGGGGGGCAGAGGCACATCGTGTTGCATTGCCCCCGGTGCACGATGCGGAGAGGGCTGCAGTCTGGCCTTTGCAGAAGCACTCCTGATTTCAAGCCTTGTAAACACCAGTTCAGCTCCTGAAAAATTATGACTGGCTGAAGCGATCATGAGAATTTAAAATCCAGTTTTGGGGAAGAGGAATGGGTGCTCAGGATTTGCCTCCTAATGCTTTACTGCCTCTGAGTCTGCCCTTTGCAAGCTGTGTCTGGGCAGGCAAGGCTGGCTCTTTGGAAAGAAAAAACTAAACATCTCAAGACCTTCCAGAAACCAAGCCCTTTCTCCATGTTCCCATCCTGCAGATCTTATCACAAGATGTAAGAAGAGGAATCTGTG